AGCATTAAATGTACCACATCTTGATTCTACGTAAATAAGCAACAATCGAATGGAGGTGTTAAACAACGTTAGTTTCACATAAAACCATGAAAAATTTATCTCTCTGTAATGCTAGCTTTAAGGATTAGACTTTAAAAAATCTTTTTTGTTATAGTAAGAACCTCAAGACATTTTTTTTTTTATCTACTATAATGTATCATACAAATATAGAAATTTTACTGAGTCAGTAAATGAAAATCTTCATTAAATTGCAGGTTTAACTGAAATAATTCAATATTCTATCTAAAATGCAGGAAGATAAGATTCATTTGTGCATCATAAAGAATACTCACTTTGTAGAATATCAGCCAGTTGAGTGAAGCACTAAAAATAACCATAAAGAAAACATTGGCTAAACATCCAGAAACAAACACAATCAATTTTCCCAGGACCTGGAAGATAAAACAAGTATAATAAACCTAAAAGTTAGACATATCGTACATTTATAGTTACTTTGTGTATAAACATGTTGGAGTCAGACTTTAGTTCAGAACAAGTGAGACTTCTAGATCTGAAGGTATAATATTACAAATGAATACTTTGTGTATAAACATGTTGGAGTCAAACTTTAGTTCAGAACAAGCGAGACTTCTAGATCTGAAGGTATAATATTACAATTATGAATACTTTGTGTATAAACATGTTGGAGTCAAACTTTAGTTCAGAACAAGCGAGACTTCTAGATCTAAAGGTATAATATTACACATGAATACTTTGTGTATAAACATGTTGGAGTCAAACTTTTGTTCAGAACAAGCGAGACTTCTAGATCTCAAGGTATAATATTACACATGAATACTTTGTGTATAAACGTGTTGGAGTCAGACTTTAGTTCAGAACAAGTGAGAATTCTAGATCTGAAGGTATAATATTACATATGAATTTATGGTTATTTTGTTGTAATATTATGTTTTGTATTTGTATAGCTATGTTATATACTGTAACACCAGATCTATAGCTATGTTATACACTGTAACACCAGATCTATAGCTATTTTATACACTGTAACACCAGATCTATAGCTATTTTATACACTCTAACACCAGATCTACAGCTATTTTATACACTGTAACACCAGATCTATAGCTATGTTATACACTGTAACACCAGATATATAGCAATGTTATATACTGTAACACCAGATATATAGCTATGTTATATACTGTAACACCAGATATATAGCTATGTTATATACTGTAACACCAGATATATAGCTATGTTATATACTGTAACACCAGATATATAGCTATGTTAGACACTGTAACACCAGATCCATACAACAGTAGTCTACGCTGTAACACACCACATCTAAAGCTATATTCTTGTGTGACATACCACTACATCAATAGTTTGTTTTCCTGCTCTTCTCATCCATCCCCATGTTTGCATAAATGACCACACACCACTCAAAGCACTCAAAACTCCTATTGCAATCTAGATTGGAAATAAAAAGCAGAAAAATATCTAATTTTTTTTTTTTACACCCGATAAAATGAACTATAGTTTTTAAATCATAATAAGAAAGAGTTAAAATGTAGAAGAAACTAAC